CAGTATCTGTTCTCTTTAATCCAAGAACTACAAACTCTTTGAACCACTATTTTAGAAATAAGTTATTGTCACTTATTCAAATAACAGGGAAATTTAATTAACACCTCTTATTCCCTTCGTATTGCAAGTCAGGGACAAAAGAAGGTAATTACAATCAACATTCAGTTTGTTTTACATACACTGTATCTCTTGACTGTTTAAGATTAATAGATTTGTTAATAGATTTGAATAAGCCCATACTTTCTGAATTTTTTAAACAATTTTTTTTTAATTTCATGAAGTGCATTTTTAAAATCATCACAAGTTTCACTTTAGACGTTTACTTTAAAAGAGCCATTCCCTTTGGTATCAACAGATGAATTTTCTTAAAACATTAATAGCCTCTTTTCAGAATACATGACTCTTTGAACTTGCAAAGCATAATAATGGTTTCATTGTTAGATACTGAATCTTTTATGCCTTATAATTAAGCAGTAATCCTATTCTTTGAGAGTTTTCTTACAAGAAGGATAGAAATATACTCTCCATTTGCAAGCAGTGATACAGAGCTGACATTGGAATTCCAGTAATGCCTGTAGTGAAATGGAGAAAAGTGGAGCTAGGTTTCCTATTAAAGGATGGATACCATTAAATAAGCCTTGTGTGATGGCTGATACAGTTTGATGTTAGGATTACATGATTTATTTTAAAAAATCAGCTTTGAATCAAAGATTGGTCAGTTAGGTTATCTGCTTAAGTGCTGAGTATCATTAGAAATTATATTGGTAACAAAACATTATATTTTTTTGAAGATTCATTTATTTCAGAGAGAGCTTGTGCAAATTGGAGGGAGGGGCCGAGGGCAAGAGAGAGAAATCCCTCAAGCAGATTCCGCACTGAGGATAGAGCCCAACACGGGGCGGGATGCCACAACCCTGAGATCATAACCTGAACCCAAACCAAGAGTCAGCCTCTTAACTGACTGAGCCACCCACCACCCCAAAACAAAACATTATTTAAATAATTAAACAAAACCAAGGAAAGTTTATCTGTACCTATAATATTGTAAAATTCTCATCTCTTTAACTCTTGAAGGGTAGAATGGTATTTGTCTAAAAAATTTGTAAAAGACAAATGGGAACTCAGAGTGAGAGTAAAGCACAAAATGAAGAGGTTAGTTTAGCTGAACAGAGGATACATGTTTAGTTGAAGGCAGTGAAATCCTTAACAGAAGTTGATCAGGGACTTTTTACCAAATCATGGAAATTTCAGTGATTGCATATTCCCTTGAACCTTAAAGCATTAGGAGATGATGCTTTCCCAGTAAGCACTACAGTTATCAAAGACCTTATTCTGAAAGTAGTTTCTCATCTTTTTGGAATCATGGGCTTCCCTTGGGAATTTGGTGAAGTCTATGGATTTCCCCAGAAATCAAACTTATTGTGGTTTGGGACCTCTGAAGTCCATTTTAGAATTCTGAAATGGTGTTTTTCAGTCATGAGTAACACACAGAACTGTTTTAAATAGAAGTAAAACCCATTGTGTTGATATTACATTTTATAATCTTAAGTATGTATGACATAGAACCTGGTATTAGCTTCTTATGCATGTACTCTTCTATAACTATAGGGTAAAAACAGATTTATAAATTAAATCATGTTACAGACTAGCAAAATGTAATCCAACAACATTAATGTGACAGATGAAGTAATGTTGAAATTAAATTGTCACTTGTTGCGTGAATATGGTACAGATAGTATAGTGTGAGTTTGAGTTCAGAGTGCTGTTAATATCATATCCCATGTGAATATTCTTCAACTGCTTTTCTCTCCTTGAACTACTTTATAACCTTTGTTTGTTCAGGATGTTGTCATGTAATTTCAAGGTATAACCACTTCTGCTTCCCTTAGTGTTAGCTGGAAACAATTGAAGTAGCCTTGTTGTTTAATACCAACCCAATCAAAAACAGTGAAATCACAGGATAGTACTAAGTAGTAAAGATCTAGGTGATCCAGACTCAGCCTCTATTAATTTTATTATAGGTCTTCATGGAAACGAGGCTACAAAAATTATAAAACAAAACAACATGTAAGAACTCTGTGGTTTCTAGAAGGAAATTTCTTGTATTAACAATGTTTTTAAAAGTTGTCTAAGCTGTAAATGTGAAATTGAGATATCATTAGTTAAATTCATGCAAAATAGTCACACTGAGTGCTTCTGCCTGCTAGGCATTACCCTAGGTTTCAGTACTATACAAAAATAAATAAAGCAAGATTCTTGATTATAAGACCCTTAATGGTTCAGGAAGAGTTTAGCTTGGGGGAGAAAGCTAAGGGAACAAATACTTTCATTACACACTTCGCTGAAGTGTTTTGATACGAAAAGGTGGGGTGGGAGCCTCACTAGTAACTCCTTACCAGATGCGTGCCAGATGTGAGCCTTGTAGGTAGTGGCCCTGGTGTGCGCTAGAGGAACCATTTTGCTAAGCTGTTACTTTGTTATTTTGGGGGGGAACAACACCCTTTTTTAATTCTCTACAGGTTCCTTGCTCTCTCTATCTGACTATAGTTCCTTCTCCCCTCACCTCCCATCTGTCCTTTACTATAATAGATAGACACATGTGTTTAAAAAGTTCTTAATGAGACTTCCATCAGCTCCCCAATTTGAACAGAACATTTTAAGCCTGGTGTAAGCTTTAAAAAAAAAGACAGGGAGATGATGTGGATAAATGGAAAACTTTTTTTCAGTGCAGTGGTTGCATTGATAATGGCCACTTATTCTCTAGCCAGGTGTTGATAGTGTTTAAACCTTTGGATACTTGTTACGCATATTCATGTGTAAACTGTTGTTTCTCTTTATATATGAATTCCATGTCCTAGATGTAGTACGATGTCTGCTCTGTACTCCAGATCATTTTCAGGATAGTTTTCTTTACTGTTGTGTGAAAATAGCACCAGCGTCTATGAATTTTACTTAAATTTAATATCATTATTGATTAAATTTGGACCTTTTTTTATTACCTGGCCTTGGCAAATTTGAAGTTCTTTCTCATTTTCAAAGTTGTATAGGATTTCCAACTTAATGTATTATTTAGTTTTTCATTGTAAAAACAGTGCCTGGGAAGAGTTGCAAATAATAAGATTGCTTATCCCTTTAATATTTAATTTTACTAATTCCTGGCAGTTGTGGTCTCAGGTCTAAGGGACATAAATACCAGTTCAGTATATTTTAAACATCTTTAAGTCGGTAGTTATTAATATTTATTTTTGAACAGAGTTCAGTATTTTAAATTTTTTTAAAAGGTGATATTTGAAATATTTAAGATAATCATTTGTAAGCACCTTTAAAAGACCTGGTCGTTAGATATTAAATAGCTTGATTTGGTTTTGCTAACGCAAAACCACAGCTATGTTCCTCTTAGGGACATAGCTTCTAAAATGGGACGAGGCTATAGATATAATCATCCTTGACTTAAATGGGGTTTTTTTTTGTTATTTTGCTTGACACACTCATCTACAGCTTAGTTGCAAATAATTACAATGACAGCAGACATTTAGACCATTTACTGTGTACCTGGTAGTGTGTTAAGTATTAAGTATATTATCTCTCTTAATTCTGTCTTATGAGGTAATTAATAGTAATAACCTGTTTTGCAGTTTAGAAAGTGAGGCTTAGAAACATTAAGTGGCTTTGTCAGGGTCACATACCTGATCGAGTGAAACATGAAGGTGTTAGTTGTACTAAAGAGCAGTTACATGGCTGACTCAGAGGGCCTGCCAGTGCATCACTGTTCACCTGGGACTTCATGGCCACACCTAGAGTCACATTGTTTTCTGTTTCCAACAGTGACCTAATGATGGAGTATAATATTCACAAGTAACAGTAATGATGCTCAGAGAAAAAGGTAGAGAGTTTAGCTAACATGGTAATGGTAGAACTGATGTATAAAAATATTTTGCAAGGCGGCAGAAGTATGCCCAAACTCAATACATGTACTTGAAGGAGGAAAGTTTTTGGCTGCAGCCCTTGACAGGGTGGGGGTACCTGAACTTCCCAAGTACATGATGGAGGATAGGTTTTCACATAAAACAGGTCATATAATGTATCACAAGACAAACAGGAGTGGGCAGATTGCACGAGGGAGATTTTTGACTGGCTTTTTAAAATGAATTCATTCCTTCATTCAACAGTGAGTGCCTACTGTGTGCCAGAAACTATTCTGAGGCTGGGGATACAGCCATACACAAAATGGGCATAAATCCCTGCCTTGGTGAAGCTTGGGTTGTAGGATCCAGGGGGCTATTTTTTCTGTTAAAATGTATGCCTCTTTTATACCTACTTATAAGTCACAGGATGCTTTATGAAATCAGTGGTGGTGAATCATTCTCTAAAGTGAATGATGGGTTTAGGTAACTGTCCTAGGGTTTGTCTTCATGGGCACTGCAGCTGTCTTCAGCTCTTGGTGGACATAAATACTGTGGCTTCCTAGTCTGCAGCTACTGAGTGACATGGATTAGTTGAAAATGGTTCAGCTGAAGCTAAGAATGTAATTTGAAATTTGGGGGATTTGGTTTTGTTTTGGTAAGGGGAATAGTGATAAGTTAAAGGGTTCATCTCAGCAATACTTAAAAGAAAAGGTCTTCTGCTTATGAATGGAGTTTGTGTAAACTTTAGCATGAAAAATTTGCTACAAGATACTAATTTCTGCTAATCCATTAAAAAGTTATCTAGCCTTTGGCTGTCTTTGATTCTGAAGATCTAAAAGTGAAATATAAATTAATATTACTCTGAGATTATTTTAACTGTAGTTTCATCTGAATAAATGTAAGTTAAAATGAACTGCAGAATGCTCTGAAGACCACTCCCAAGCCTGGGTTTAGAGGATTAAACAATTTAATAGACTTCATCATGAATTGATATTCTTTATGAAGAGACACTGCTTAGACCAATTATATGACATATCCCCTTCTCAGTTTTTAAAGATAATTCTGGAAACAAATGAGTTTCTTATCAATATCCAGGCAAACTCTTCCACATAGACTTCGGATATATTTTGGGTCGGGATCCAAAGCCTCTTCCTCCTCCAATGAAGCTGAATAAAGAAATGGTAGAAGGAATGGGGGGCACCCAGAGTGAGCAGTACCAAGAGTTCCGTAAACAGTGTTACACGGCTTTTCTCCACCTTCGAAGGTAAGTTGATTTGCTTAACATAAAGAATTTTGATAAATTCATTTCATAGAGCAAGAAAAGGAGTTGTTCAAATGTATACATTCTTTAACATCACTCTTCCAGAATGACACGGGCAAAAGTATTTCTTAATGCACATTTAATATCTATTTTGATAAACAGTCTGATAGCAAAAGAAAAAAGAATTTCTTGCTTTCCCACTAATTATTTGATTGCTAAATGCCACCAGATAGGAAGCTGACATTCCATAAGATTAGGCAAACACGGAGGCTTCAAAATCAGTGGGTTATAATCATTTTAGTAAAATATACTATGTGTGCTTTTACAGTGCTGGGATGGAGAAAAGATTAAGAAGCTTCATAACCATTCACATCTCCCTGAAGCCAGTCTTGAAGGATTATAATCACGATGTTGAGTTCTTTTCCTTCTCCCAAACTCACTTCCTGTTTCTTTATCAAAGAATGAAGTATTTAGCTTATTTAAAGTGATACTAATCCATTCATTTTTATTCTGTAGCAACTTTATCAGCCTTAGTTTCTGTTGTTCTTCAGGAGCATTTAGAAGTTTGTTAAATGATGGAAGAATAAATGTTACATATGATTTTGTCTCTTTAGCACCGCATCAGTCATCCTGCTAAAGGAAAAAAGTTGATTTTTCTCTATCCCTTCTTCTTTCTCCAATGCCACTCTATCTCTGCTTTCTCCATCCTAGTTTACTTAGGACTTAACATCAGAAAAAAAAAAAGTCATGCTTGTTAAATTTAGGACATGGCTCCGGTGATTAGTCATAAATGACAGGATCATTTGACCCAACTTAACTATGCAGAAACTCCCAGCCCAGGCCACATACCTTCTTACATCTCTTCTCATTGAAAATATATGACCGGTAGACAGTAAGTTGCCTATGCACGTGGGCTCTGTCTTGTTTGTCTTTGTAACCTCAGTTACTTATGCAATGGTTAGAACATAGACACTCTGTATGTTTATTAAGTGAGAATCTTCAGTATTTATATGAGAAACCCCAGAACTTCTGCTTCATATCTGGGGTGAGGTCATGTTCCTGGATGATGTTGATGCTCCTGGTCCTAGGAGAATGGCTGTACCTATTAATCAGATTTCATCTTCGCAGTGACTCATAGGCCACCATTGTTAACTCAGTCTGTACCATGTGTCACAAACTCTGACGTGCATGTTACAAACAGCCACACTATTTTTCCTTTAGGTGGCAGAGTGACTCAGTTTTACTTACCAGAAATGCTGAAAGAATAATGAGATCAGTGCTCTTTGATTTGTCTGTTGATGCAGAAGCACTTTCAGAGAGATGAGATGAGAGTTCCACTTTAATATCTGGGATTTTTAATTTAAAATAGTCAAAGCCTACCGAAAACTAGATGGAAACATGGCCTTGTCAGTGATGAGGCAGACAGAATGATATGAAGTGATAACTAGAGAAATGTCAAAGGTGCTCTATCTTACTGAAAGCAGAAGGAAAGCTGTGCTTTATAAACTGTCATTGATAGTGGATTAATAGCAATTCAGTAGAATGAGAATACAGGCAGGTTATTAATATGGAGCCAAAGTTAACTTTCATCACTACTAAGAAAAATCAGATTAATCTAAATAATTTTATGTTAAGTCTTCATGAAAACTGCTTTATTTTTTAAAATTTCACTGTACTTTGGGTAAGATCAGCTAGACCCTAATATTTTAATCAACATTTATTTTTCTTATTTTTAATTTTTTTAAAGATTTTATTTATTTATTGACTTTAGAGGGAGAAAGTGCAGTGGGAAGGGGCAGAAGGAGAGGGAGAAAGAATCTCAAGCAGACTCCATGCTGAGCGCAGAGCCTGACGTGGGGCTTGATCTCACGACCCTGAGATCACTACCTGAGCAGAAACCAGGAGTTGGACGCTTAACTGACTGAGCCACCCAGGTGCCCCCAACATTTATTTTTTAATGTTGTATTTTAGAACATTGTTCTGCTAGTAAAAAATTGCCTTTATACCATAAGAATTAACCTGATACTTAAAAGTGTGTTTAGAGCTAAGGTTATTTGGCACTTTTTAAAATTACGGTTTATAGGTATGACAAACCACCTTCTTTTCATGGTTTTTTATTGATGGCTGATCATTTTCTGCAGCAAGAAACCATTCACTAACATTGGACCATGTAAACAGAGCAGTTCCTTTTGAACTAACTTATGAATGGTTACAATTGTATAGATGTCAGAACACATTTTGTGGCGTTCTGATTTTCATGTAACAAAATGTATTATCATCTCTTTTATTAATCAATACCTAATACACCAGTAATTGGTAAATTTGGTTTTTGAATACTGTCTCATGGCAAGAGTAATGCTAAAATATTTTGTGTCCAAGGAAAACATAACTCCTTCTCTTAACCCACGTATATGCCAAACATTAATAGACACTTAGGATACAAAGACAGCCTAAATTTTCCAGTAAAAATACTGAAATTAGGAATGCATTTGACTATATCAAGTAAAGTTCTTACGTTGTCTGAGAATGTTTGCATAGTTACCAAACAGCCGTGACTTTATTGATCATACTTCCTTTCATCATTAGCTTCATTGTTCTCCCTCCTTGAAGTAGTACACTTATTAAATAAATTTTTTTTTTGTAGGATTCTTCAATATTTATTGCATGCCAAGTGGATATACTGTAGGGGTAATAGACCTCTGGAACACTATAGGAAACCTCACTTGATATAGTTAAATGCATTTCTATTTTTAGTATTGAAGGTTTTCGATGAACAATTTAGACCATCTTTGGATGACTTTATACTTTCTTTTGATAATGGTTTTAAAGATGTCTAGTAACCTTTAAATCTTTTTTTCTGGGTAGAATATTGAATGACTATGCTATTTAATATATACTTTCCTTTGGGGGGGTCATGTGCCCTATCTTAAATGGAAAATGCAGGTTCATAGCAACAGGATTCATAGTAAAGGATTAATACAATTAAGGTAGTGACAGATTTTCTACAAAGTAATTGGATGTTTAAGCTTCTTATAGAATATCCCATTTTATATTTATTTACATTTTGTTTTCCTTTGCTACAATAATAGCAGCATGGATGGCTAAATTAAAACCAACAGATACTCCAGAAAACATTAATGTTTGCCTTTTAAAAAAGAAACACACGTATGCTTACATGAAGGCAAGCATTTTAACATAGTTCCTGGCTGTCCATTAGAAATACCTGGGGGAACTTTAGGGGGAAAAACAGTTTTGAGGCCCATCAGATTTACTTGGTCTGGGATTGGGCTCAGGCACTAATAGTTTTAAGAAGCTCCCAGGTGAATCTAATGGACCTCCAGTTTTGAGAATCTCTGAAATATCCCTTTCAAAATTGAGCTTTGTTTTCCCCTCCCTGTGTTACTCTGTGAATCTACCCTGTGATATATTCCTGAGAATCCCTTATGGCAAGATTGGGAAAAACTGTATAGTCAACAGAGCAGAGTGTGAATAATTGAGGGTTCATTGAAAGAGCGTATTTTTTTCATGACATAATACGTAGCAGCTGGCTGTACTCTGCTGTTCCCATGGTCCTTGCAGGCCTCTCAAGTGGATCTTCTTGATTTCCATATCCTACATATCTCAAAGCTTGATGCCCTCCTTGCTCCCTGTTGCAACTTCCAAACCTTAGTTTGCCTTAGTTCTTTACTCTCTTTCACAGCCCATCTGCTTTAAAAAGGTCTGTTCTCACTGTCTCCACTAACTTGCCTCCTTTTCTTCCTTCAGCCTTCTCCAATAAGACTTCCCTACTCTACTATTAAAACTAATTTTATCAAGATAAACAGTTACCTATACCAAATCTAGTGGCCACTTTTCTTCCTAGCATCTTTGACACAGTTGAGCACTTCTTTGTTCCTGAAAACCTTTCTTAGATTTGGTGTAACCCACTCCTCTGTTTTCTTTTTACCTTGCTGGCTACTTCTGCTGCTTTGCTGATTTCTTCCCTCTTCTGTCTGATCTTTACATGTTCAACTGTCTAGAAGTTCCATTGTCAGTATTAACCTTTTAGTTCTGGATCATTTTTCCCCCTAAACTCTCTATCAGCATTTTCATCCAGACTTGTGACTTTCATTAGGATCCAAATGCTGATGTTTTGAACTGATGACATCAGCCCTGGTACCCCCTCTGAGTTCTCTTGTCTACTTGACATCTTGACTAAGAATCTGGTAGGCACTTCAAACTCAGTATGTCTAAAACAGAATATTACTGATTCCCTGTCCCCAATCCTGCTCTTTGTTCATTCTCTTTCTTATTTTGTGAACAACAGTAGTTTCCCATTGCTTAGGCTGAATCCTTGGTGACATTCAGTTCCTCTGCTCCCTTTCCCTTGCTCCGTTGAAACCATCAGCAACTGTTTTCCACTTCATCTCCAACGTACAGCCTGAGAATATCTGTATTGTTTCTTTTCTCCCTAGACAGCGAGCTTTTAACAATGCGTATCTCCTACTTGCAGGGGAGATACCATGATCATGAAGGTGGTTTTCTTAGGATGAGCCTTGTTCATTGCACTCTGGATGTGCTCACCCCTGCAATCCCCCCAAATGTGGGAAACTGAGCTGCATAATTTGTGGTAGTGGGGGACTGTGTTCACACTTCCCCTGAAAAAGATAAAATAAAAATGCGTATCTGAGTGTGTTACTCCACACTTTACTCAGTTGCTGCCTCCCTGCGCATTTAGAATAAAATCGTCACTGCTTAAGATGGTTTCTCCCCCTAACCTATCAATCTCTGACCCATTTCCCTGATTTTTCTTTTTTTTTAAATCTTTTTATCAGTCAGCCAGGTGTGAAATTATGTTCTCATTTTATTTTGTGAGTCCCCCATTCTCTTCCAGAATGTAAACTTCATGAATGTAGGGACCTTGTTGGTTCAGTTCCTCACTGTATTCCTTGTGCCTAGAACAATGTATAGAGTGAATACTCAGTAAATATCTGTTGGGTGAATAAATACAATTATTATATGAGTAGAAATGGAATAACATCTGTGGTAATTTTTTTTTTTTAATTAGTAACTTAAAGCTAGGTTAAAGCTGTTTAGCTATTACTATAAGTGAGTTAGGGCATAATTTGATTAGAAGATGACTTCAAGGTATTAGTTTTAATTATAGTCCCTCTTTTTTTTTCTGTCTATAGTCCCTCTAGATTTTCATGGACAGTATAAAATTCAGAAATGATAAAAAGGTAATTTGAAGTTTATATGAATAGTTATTTTTGTCTGCAAGTTCCGTTATCATTATAGTTCAACAATAGCCAGTTTTTAGGGAACAAGTTGTGCCTTTTTATATAATGGATGAGTAGATGGCTAGTATCACCTAATGCCTGACCTCCATCCCTAGAGAAGACATGCAAGGTACTTGTTGATAATTTTACTGAGATCAGCTAAAAGCCTTTATTGCCTAAAAACAAAGCTTCATTTACTCACATCCATCCCCAAAGTCAAACCTGATTCTCCTTTGTCACTAAGAGCCATCCAGAAAAATTATAACTGTCTAAGGGGAGAGTATTCTGGAGCAGGAGGTGGATTGTGCCCAGGGTACACTTACACCTTTCCCCACAAGGCTCCACTTCTGGAAATGAACATTTGGAATAGTACCATTCTTTCTAGAGAGAGAGGAAGTGGAAGAGTTTGAGGATTGGTGAGGATAAACCTTTAGTTCCTGTAGGGACAGCATAGTCCAAAGATGATGTTATTTATATATCTAGCCTATCCTTAATGTAAGAGAGTACTAGCTATTTTCTCCTTCATTTAGGATTGCTTATATCCAGACAAGCCTCTGTAGTTCCTAAAATGGTGATTAATATCCCTGGGGGATATTTCTGAATGATTAGAGAGATGACAGTGTATCTCGTTCATTCCTTTAGCCATGACACACTGAGGTAGTCTTACAGTAGCAGATTTTTGACATCATCTAGCAAAGACAGATCTTCAGTGTTCACTAAATGCTAATTAGATATAGAGTGGATTCTCCTTAGATTTCTCCTAAAAAGAATATTCTTATTGTAAGAACGAAAAGAATGCCATTAGATGGCTACTCCAAAAGTTTATCCCATAGTGTGGGACCTAGAAAGGGCATTATATCAAGACCCCAGAATAAGATACTTTTCATTGAGACAGCTGATAATGGCACATTCTATATTCTGTAGGAGTAATAGTAAAGATCCAAGTACAGCTACTACTTCTGGGAGTATTCTTTACAGGAGAAAGAACTGCAGAAGTCTAACACATTGTTTTTTTGTTTTGTTTTGTTTTGTTTTTTCCCACTTTCCTTTAGGTATTCTAACCTGATTTTGAACTTGTTCTCCTTGATGGTGGATGCAAACATTCCAGATATTGCTCTTGAACCAGATAAAACTGTGAAAAAGGTAATTTTTATACATTGTGAGGTATATTAGTCTACTTTTCATATATAAAGGATATTAAGGTTTTAATAACCCATTTCCCCTTGATGTCCCTGACTGTAGACTCTTAAGTAACATAAATTAAGAAAGAGACCCTTTGTGTAATTTTTTTTACCTTCCAGAATGCGGTAGCCTCTCCAGTCCCTGCAGCCAGTTCTGTTCATACCCAAAATCACATGACTAGGTCATTGTATCTACAGAGAAAATCTCCATTGTATCTATGACCCTTGCTCTTTTTTCTAGAAAGTTTAGCACTTCTTTAATAATTCTGATAGGATATCTGATTCCTGGCACTCCTGGGCTATGCATGCTAAAGAGCAGAGACAAACTATTAATGATCCTAACTGGGAGAAAAGAGCCATTCTTTATCCTTCCCATCCATATCCTTGCTTACAGGTAGAGACCTGCCTTTTAACTCGGCCTACAAGGAAAAGAAAAAAGGATAGTCTTTGTGTAGGTGAACAGTGATTCAGAGTTGTTGTACCATGAATTCTAGCAAGGGATGGGAGAAAGGACAGCACATTTGAAGATTTTTGTCTGAATTAGCTTCTGATTCTCTGATTTGGCGGGGGAGGGCAGGGGGCAGTTGGAGGTAGTATGTAGAAAGCACTTTTTTTAAATCCAAAGATAACATAAGATTATCTTCAATATCAGTGTGATTACCAATATTGAACTTGAAAGATAGTATAGTTTTTTGCCTTGCAGAAGTGTACAATTACTAAAGGACAGTAGCAATCTCAGAGATGGAGTCTCTATGGGCGATGAAAATAATACTTGGGACTAAAAAGCTTGTAACTTCTGACATTATGGACTCTGAACATTATTAGAAAGATTCCTCTGGATTGAACATTGTCTTAGTCCATTTGGGCTGCTATAACAAAACACCAAAGAATGGATGGCTTATTAACCACAGAAATTTATTTCTCATAGTCTTGGAATCTAGAAGTCGAAGATCAGGGTGCCAGTATGGTCAGATGAGAGACATCTTGGGGCTGAAGTCTTCTTGTACCTTCATGTGGCAGCAGTGCTAGGGAGCTCCATGGGATCTCTTCTATAAGGATTCCACTCTCATGACTAAGCACCTTCCAAGGCTCTACCCTAATATCTTTCACATTGGGCATTAGTATTTCAACATGGATTTGGGGGGAAGGAGGCACAAATATTCAGACCATTGCAAACATAAATAAGAATCTCTTTTACCTAGTTTTGTAAGTCTATCACAAGTATTAAGAGGGGGTTTTAATGGAAATACTTTATCGTTGAGCCATTTAAGAATATTATGCTCTTATTAAGACTTCATTTATTATTTTATCCAGCAAGCACTGTTCCAGTAAACTCCCTTTTCCCCATAGGAAATAGACTAGTCATCATACTGGTTTTTGACATGACTTCCTTTTTTCATTTATTTTTTATTTATTGACTAAAACTCATTCATTAGGAAATATAAATGGTTGCTGAAAATTTCCTTGGCTGTAATTGATGGGTACATTAGATTCCAAATATTGTTGCCCCCTCCTTTTTTTTTTTGCATTGATATATTCAGGACTTGTTTTGTTGTGTATTTTAAATCCATTTATCTCTGGTCACATAGTCACTCTTCCCTGATTTCACTCGTATTCAGAAGTCATTTATGAAAGTTCTCTAAGAATATTTGCTAAACTGAGTCTTCCAATTTCTTCTGCTAGTTGTGTTGTTCTTGTTCTTATTAGATCTTTTATTTGTTTCTCTTTTAGAAAATCATTGATTTTATTGTTTAAGGACAGTGCCCTTTTGTTATAGCTATGTTAGTGGCACTGTCTTTTAGCACACAAAGCAGTGTATTTTGGGAAGAAAAAAAAGCATGTGTATTAGTTATTTTTCTTTAGACTGGTACTCCTTAGCTGTTTATTCTAATTTCAATTACATGAACCTTGAAAAAAAAGGCATTTCACCATATATCTCCCCAAAAGGATTTTTCATAAAGGGTTTCTTTGCTTTCTACTGTTTTATTAAGAATATGAAGTAATTATTTACAACATAAATTTGACATTAAAGTCATAATAATATTGGGAAGTTATTCTGGAAAAGGCTAAAATTTGTGTCATATATTTCATTTTTTATGAAGTATAGATTTTTATACCTTGTTGAAATAACAGTTGCTAACATTACTTCAAAGTCTTACCACTTGGAAAATTTTTGTGTTGACCTTATGAATGGAAACCAACTAGGGAAATATAGTAGCACATTTGAGGCTGAGAGAAGTACAGATTATTTAAATTATTTGAGTAATCGTAACGAAGCGCAACAATGTTTTCTTGTCTCCATAACTTTATTTAGTATATATCAGTTTTGTTTTAATTTTTTGAAAATTGAATACTTATATATGGAATACATGATATTTTTGTTAATCATGTTTGTCTATTTCTTAGAAAACACAATTGCCCAAAAATGTGAGATGGAATCACAATTTAAAACATATGATCATCAATCACAAACATTAAGTATCTGGTAGTAGTAGGTTAGTGTGCTTTTGCTTTGTGCCATGGGAAGCTTGCACAAAAGTTGCTTTAGTCCTTTTAATAATTTAGAACAAAGTTATCCAAGTAGTCTAATAAAAATAATGCATATTGATATAAAGCAAAGTGTTATGTGCTAGTATAACTAAAGCACGGTGGATAGACAAATTTCCAAAAATGAGCAAAGAGATCATGCTAATTTTTTTAAAGATTTATTTATTTATTTGGATAAATACTCAGTGGTATTTATTGAGCTATTTACTATGTGTCAGGCACTGTCTTAGTGCTTGAGTTATAGTAATAATAAACAAAACAAAATTTTCCACCCTCATGGAGCTTACCTTCTAATAAAAGAAACAGAAAAGAAACAGGATAAAGTAAGTAAAATATATAATATACTAATCATGATTAGTGTTTAGAGAAAAAAATAAATGAGAGAGGAAAATGAAAAGTTGAGTTGGCATTGATTCTGGAAATTTTAAAATTTGTGGCCGGGAAAGGCTCACGAAGTAGGATACGTCATCTTTTTCTGAATAAATTAAAAGGAGATATCTTATGAACATGTGATATGGAAATAAGACTTCTTCGTCAACTCCTGTAGATTGTCCTAGTGAATAAAGGGAAGTTAAAATACTTGAGATAAAAAACCTATGTATTCAGAAACTAATGTAACATTATGTGTTGACTATACTTCAACTAAAAAAAGAAAGAAAACTTGTATTTCCTAGCCTATTATTAACTTTGTTACTAGGGAGTGTGTATTGATAGAAGACAATTGCTTATCTTCAGGGAGTTTTAAATTTTCTTAGCTTTTGATACAGGTGAGTCTCTATTTAAAAAAAATGGGAGGGAGAGAAATAGAATAGTTTAATGGATAAACATGACCACTTGACAATCAGTGCTTTTTCATTTGTGTTTTTCTTTAAATCAGTAATAGGAAATCTTTTAAACTGTGGTAATAAGTTTGTTCAGGGTAATTTAACAAGGTAATACTATTCTGTGTTGAAGAATAAATGGATGTGTTCTTTCTCTAAATTGATTTTTTAAAAATTTTATTTCTTTATTTGAGAGTGAGAGAGCACGAGCCAGGGGAGAGGCAGAGGGAGAGGGAGAGAGAAGCAGACTTCCCTCTGAGCAGGGAGCCAGATGCTGGGCTTGAGCTCAAGGCCCTGGGACCATGACCCGACCCAAAGGCAGAGGCTTAACTGACTGAGCCACCCAGGCACCCCTCTCTAAATTGATTTTTGACTAAATTTTAGAACAAATTTTATATATTACAAGCAGCTACAAATTGTCTGAAGATCTATTTCAAATGACCTGTAAAATTAAATTACCTTTGGTGCCTACAAGGTTTGTTTATTAAAACATACAAGCCATGGGAGGGAAGGGGTGGCTGGGTGATGGACATTGGGGAGGGTATGTGTTATGGTGAGCACTATATATTGTGTAAGACTGCTGAATCACAGACCTCTACCCCTGAAACAAATAATATATGTTAATTAAAAAAAATCTAAAAATAAAATTAAATTAAATTAAAAATTAAAAACAAAACAAAACATACAAGCCGTAACATCCACTTACATTAAATTTTGGTAACGTAGGATTTTATTTTTCTCTACTAGTCCTGTGTCTTAATACAATTATAGCATTGATTCTCTTTTAGCAGTAGTTGGATGGGGGTTCAATTTTTAAAATTTTCCTTTTAATTATTCTTTATTTTAAATTCTGGTTTTTATTCAAGTAAGGGAATTTTTTTATTCTAATGCAGCTTAGATAATCAGATGAACTCAGCAAGGGAATAATGTTTACATTAAAACTCTTCCTTTTACTCTGATGAGTGAAAATTTTTCCTTTGTTGTAATCACTTCTGTGATTAAGTTATTAGGAAATGAGTACAAGGAAAAACTTTTTAAAATTCTAATTAATTTGAATTAAAAATATTTAATAGGGAATGTCTGCTTTTATTATTTTAATGAAAGTTACTCTTATTTCAGAGATGCTAAACACTAAATTATTTTAAGCAGAAGTCTTCTTTATTAATGAATGTTAAATTTGTCTTGTAATGATGTATTTTGAGCTTTGAAAGACGAAGGGTAAAGATTAGGTATAAATGAAATCACTATACTCCTTAGGAAGGACAGTATAGTTTAGTCTAGAAATGTATTGCAGGGTTTTGTGTGGAGAATAGCTCTACACACCTGAGAACGTGGATGCAAGAAGAGTGTACATCAAAATGCTATTAAAGACAAAATTTAATATTTAGTACTAATTGGAATATTAGAGACTATGTGTGTGTGTGCGTGCACACGTGCACATGCATGAATAGAGCTTAAACCTATAACCTGAAGAGCAGAGAGAATGTAGCTTGAAGAAAAGGATTAGAACCTTAAGCACTTAGGGACAATAACAAGTAGCCTGGTCAGTATATATGATGCCAAATCAGCCATTTATGTGCAGTTGAGAATGATTTTTTCATATTTGGTAAATAATGTTTACTTTCTATGCCAAATGCATATAGTCTGTGTTGCAACACTTATACAAGCATGTAAGTTTTGATAAGTTAGGCTAAAGTTTTGATTCTACTGCCCTATAGTTTTTTGGTGTCCTTAAAAATAGTTCCAGACCTGTCAGACATCTTTTTAAGTCAAAGAAAATAAAGGATTAAACTCAAGGAACAGATACGCCATTAATTGGGATTCAGAATTGGGAGAGCTAGTTCATTCAAGGTATTCCTTTAGAATCTCCACTGAACTGTCCTTCAGTTTTTATATCTACCTCTCTTTTACTTCCCCATCCTGAAGCTGCAGAGCTGTTGGATCATTTGGCATACATCCAATCTAGTGACGAGATAAGTGCAAATCCAGGGCTGTGGGTTGTCCTACTGTGTCCTTAGTTTCCTAGTAGTTAAATTCTGTATTTAAAAGGAAATACTAAATGTGATCACTTTTTATTTGCTTAGAAACATTTTCTCCTTGCCTGCTTTTTCAAAAGTATATTTGGGTCACTTACAAGAGGAGAAAGGAGTAGAATTATAATGGTTATGTGCAGTGGCATGAGATTGTCTGGAAGCATGAGACCCTTGCCATCAGTTAAGGGTGTCTGGGTAGGTTGGCTTCATAAATTCTCTTGGCCTCCATTTCTGCATCTTAGAGGTGAAGATACTGTCTACCTCAGAGTCAGATGAAATACTGCATGTGAAGTGTTTTGCACAGAGTATTCATTTAATAACACTGGCTTTTATTTTTTAGGAATCATTCTCATATAATAACTAGAACTTTTCTAGTTATTAAATAAAAATTCTAGTTATTCTTATTAGGAATCAGCTGTGACTTTAAATATGAAATAAAGGAAAATTCCTCTCTCTGGAAATTGCAGATCAATTGAAGTAATACTTGGCAGAAGTATAAGGAATTGCTATAGGAAAGGAGACATTTTGGAAGATCTTTATTTTGCCAGTGATTGACATGGTTCCTGTTCTTGTATAGGCATTGAAATGGTATGGGAGAATGTTACTATAATCCCACCTTGGTATATCCATTTAAAAATAAGTAACAGGGATAAAGTGAAGAAGATTATTAATAAATATGCCCCATTTTAAATTTTATACAGTAGTTCTAGCTTTGAAATGCAAAAGAAAATAGGGGCGCCTAGCTGGCTCCAAAGAGCATGCGACTCTTGATCTCGGTTGTGGGTTCGAGCCCCATATGGGGTGTAGAGATTATGTAAATAAAACTTTAGAAAAAAAAAAAGAAATGCAAAAAAAAAAGCATACTTTTTTATATTTGCAGCACCTAGCAGAATTATTTTTACTTTTTTTTTTTTTTAAAAAAAAAAAAAACTGAAGCAACAAGGAAAGGGTGATAAAGAGTATATAGCAAAAACAATAAACTTCGCTCAAAAGAATAATAATATTCAGAACTTCTTGTAAGTTATGAATTACTTCTTTGTCATAGAAATAGTTCATAATATATTGTAACAACATCTGTATCAATCTGATGCTGTCTCTTCAAATTGAGTCTTTTTTTTTTTCCATTGAAAAGACTAATCTACTATGACCTTGTAGGTTCAGGATAAATTCCGACTAGACCTGTCTGATGAAGAGGCGGTACATTACATGCAGAGTCTGATCGATGAAAGTGTCCATGCTCTCTTTGCTGCAGTGGTAGAACAGATTCACAAGTTTGCCCAGGTAAGTTCTCTGAAGGCAGTGCAATTGATCACAGCTTTTCCGTGTCCTACCCCAGAGTCCTCAGAGAGCCATGCTTTTCTCCTGCTAATGATGTCTTTGCGTTTTATCAAGCCTTTTTGACATCAGCCAGCTGATGTGAATGTGTTGCATACATTATTAACTCTAAAACATCCCACTTAAATTTTCAGTTGTAAACTAAATTGTGGAGTGTCAGCATAGGTGTATGTGTCCTTTGTAGTCAGTGGTGATTGTAAATCATTCCTGAGAATGATCTTGGGTCTAACGGAGGCCTTAGCAAGTGAGACTTGAACACTTTTTGGGTTTCGACAAATAGTGAAGTGCTAGGAAAGGAGTTTAGAAGCTGAAAAAAGCTGTGCATACCACACACTGAAAAGGTCTATCTGTAGACTTACTGTTAGTAGAGTCTTGCATGCAAATGTCTGAGGGAGACCTTTTCACACTAGCCTATGATGGTAAACCTCAGGCTTAAAACCTGGTTTAATTGTGAATTTCATAATGAGGATGATTATGAAAATGGTAAGCAAACAGAAAAATTAGACCTCTTTCCCTCCCACACACTCACACTCTTCTCCTTGCACACTCCTTCCTGATTTTGCATATTCTGTTAATAATTTTACTAATTACGCAAGCTCAAAGCCTGTCTGCTTTGCCTTCTCCTTCACCTAGTACCACTGTCACCAAGCCTTGTCAGTCTTTTTAGTTTAACCATTTCTTTAATTATCCTTTTCGATCATTTTCTGACTACTAATATTTTAATCCATTTTTTGTTCTTTAATATATCTTGGGTAACTAAAACCCTTTATAATTCTTCTGTTTTAGTTTTTTTTTCCTCTAAGCATTTTTTATCCTTCTAAATATCCCAGTCAGATATATTTTCACAAAATAATGTTTTACTTTGTCCTTTTTATTTTTTTAAATTTCAGTGTGCACAATGTTTCCCCATTGCCTAACGGTAAAGTCCAGTCTGTGGCAGCCCAAGGCCTTCCAGAATATTGTATACCAACCTACTTTCCAAGGTGTTTCCCTGTTACTCTCTCTGAATATTTTGTTCTTTTCTGTCTCTGTGATTAACTTGCAGCTGCCGTTTCTTCAGCATAGAACATCCATCTTCTTAACAATGAATCTTTGGTAAACTTCTGCTTACCAAATCCAAGCTGTCCTCCAAGATCTATTCTTAATGCCACTTTGATTGATCTTCCTCTGGATATTTATAGTACTTTTACCTTTATTATGAGTTGCACTTATATTTTGCTTTCTATTATAGATACTTGAGGATACTTGTCTTATAACTCCTAAAATACAAACTTCTTGAAGACGAGGCTATATCTGTTACTCACCTATTAGCACAGTGCCTTATCTACTTAAAAAATATCCAAGGGACATAAACGAGTTTCTTCCTGTAAATGTTAGCTTATCCTCTTTTTCTGCCTTAACAAAGAGTTTTTTCTCCCAGAACACCAGTTTGGGTCAAATTTTATTGCAAGGGTCTGCTTCCTAGGTTATTAAATCCTAACCAGTCACTTCTCAAGAGAATAAACCATCCCAGATGGTACATGATTTGTCTAGCTAATGGTAGATCTGAGTTTCCATATAGCACAGCAGAGTGTTTTGGAGCAATAGGGGACAGAAACCCAGAATGGGATAATGACTTCGCTAATGTCATGTGACTAACAAGGGACAGAACCAAGACTTGAACCCAAATCTTTTGACTCCCATATCCAGTATTTTTGAAATTCGTTCTCTTGTCAGTGTCTTGCATACCGCTATATGATGAGTTACTGAAACTTTCCCTGGCACAGCCCTCACAATCCAGGTACTTTCTCTCTCCCTTTTTGTATGTACACCCTTTTTTTTTTCTTTTTTAAAACTCAAATAGTTGTAACATGCTTGAGCTTAGAAACTTTTAACTTCTCTGTCTGCATTTCCTTCAGAGTTGGTTATTTATATTTCATTTTGCTCTATCCTTATCTATAGCTGAACAAATTTCTCTCCTTCAGGAGTTTTCCTTCCTGCATACTTCAGGTTTCTCAGTTTCCTGGGCATTTACCATATAATAGAGCTAAAACTCCACACTTAAAATTAATGCTGCTGCCTGACACCTCATTTCAGATTATCTGTAGCTGTTTAACAAACCTGAACTCACTAGCTTAAAAAACAGTAATGATTTATTACTTCTTATGATTGATTCTTCAGTCAGGATTTTAGCCAGAGCTCAGCCACATGGCTCTTTTGTTTCCTGTTATGTCAGGTGGGTTCACTCATTTAGCTGTGTTCAGCTGGGGATTGGGTTTGTCTGAAGGGTCCAAAAGGTTTCACACATCTACACTTTGGTGCTGCTCCAGACAGCCTGTGTCTGCTTCTCTCGCATTCCGGACTCTACCCAGGCCTGTCGTTCTCCTGCATGGCGATAGCTGCCCCCCAAGGAATGTGAAAGTGGGGGCAGCAGGCATCTTAGAGCCAGTCAGAAGGCCAGCCCCGACTCTCAGGGACAAGAGAAGTGTGTACTCTGGAGGAGAGGGATTAAGTGTGGCATCTTTGAAGACTTAACTGCCACACATCTAATACACTCTATCTTAAAGTTTGAGCTTTCAAGCAAGTTCTGTAAACATACTTGTGGTATACTTTATTTATTATTTATTTATTTTTTCAAAAGATTTTATTTACTTATTTGAGAGAGAGAAAGTGAGCGAGAGAGAGAGAGAGAGCAGGAGCAGGGGGAGGAGGAGAGGGAGAAACAGACTCACCACTGAGTAGGGAGCCCTATGTGGACCTTGATCCCAAGACCCTAGGGTCATGACCTGAGCTGAAGGCAGCCGCTTAACTGCCTGAGGCACCCAGGCACCCCTGAACTAGTAGTATAGTTTAGTTTAGTTTTGAAATTGTGTTGTCAATTTGCAAGAGAGAGAGAGAGTGCCTGGGGCTGGGAGGGGAGGGGCAGGGGGAGAGGGAGAGAGAGAGAATCTAAAGCAGACTCCCTGCTGAGAAGGGAGCCTGATGTGGGGCTGGATCTCATGACCTCGAGGCCATGACCTGAGCTGGAATCAAGAGTTGGAGGCTTAACTGACTGAGCCACCCAGGTGCCCCAGAAGGACTATTTTTCTTAATTCCCTGTATGAAAAATAGAGGAGAGAAAAAGCTAGATAAAAGAGGGACCACATTCTTCTTTGGGGGAGGTAGTAACAGAGGGACCTTTCTTTACCAATGTCTCTGGGCTTCAGTTTCCACATCTGTAAAGTGATTGGTATTGAGATAAAAACTAATATAAATTTAATCTATTGTCAGAGATACACAAAGGTTAATTGCTTTCCATATATAAAGCTTATATTGACTATTGCAAAGACCGAAAATAAATGAAATCCCCAGCACTGATGGTTAAATTACAAAGGTTGTTTAGAACCAAGAGTTAATGCATGTACCTTTTCTATTCACAGAGAAAATATGAATATGGCCAATAAATTGGTAATAGAGGTGAATGTACTTTTAGACTTGGGAAAAATAATTTTATAAGCATGAACTAACAGAGGATTATATTTCTTGGAAAGAAATATTAAGGCTTTCTTGGGTTTCTGTTTTTTAGTTCTTCAGTAAAATGGTAGATAAGATGTAGAAATCCTGGATAAATAGTTACTGTAAATTACTTTGGCCTTCATTGTTAAAAACTCTTGGACTAGGATAGATTCTTGATAACAAAATAGTATTATTATCTAAAATCAAGGCCATAAAGGGGCGCCTGGGTGGTTCAGTTGGTTAAGCATCTGCCTTCGGCTTGGGTCATCAGGGTCCTGGGATTGAGTCCTGCATCGGGCCTCTCCCTCTGCCTGCCACTCCTCCTGCTTGTGCCCTCTCTCTCTCTGTCAAATAAATAAATAAAATCTTAAAAAAAAAATAAATAAAATCAAGGCCATGGCAGCATGAATATGAATTAAGAGCAAATATCTGCATGACTCCAGCAATGTAAAGACCACCAATGTCATCCTAGACAGGCTTAATACAGCATGAATATTTATGTAGACAAAATTTTATAGATCATATCTCAGCGCTCCATTTTACAATGAGAGATAATCGTGTCTGGAATAACAATAACCTTATTTATTTGAACTTTGTATTTCATACAGTGCTTCACTGTTTTTTAACATTATATAATCTTTACTATAACCACAAAAGTGAGTATTAACATTCTCCCTTCTTAGAGATTAGAGGGCTGAGCCACATAAAAAGTTGTTTCCTAGCTTAGCAAATTCAAAGTCTTTACCAGAATATCCCATGATATTCTACATCCTAAGAAATGAACTTGAAAATGCTCGTGCTGTCTTAGGGTTCCTTAGATATGTCACCTCTGCCTATACTCCTTAGCTGTGCCTGTAACTCTTGTGCAACTGAAACAGTATCAAAGCCAGAGTAACCCAAGGATGTTTAATGTCATTGGAATTTGTTTAGGCATTGAAGGTTACAAAAGATACTAAATATGGTTTTAACTTCATGTAAGTCTTTCCAGATTATGAAATTACAGCAGCATAGCTATTTTTCTTTTTAAAGATTTTATTATTTTATTTTAGAGATAGCAAGAAAGCAAGTGAGCATGGGGGGAGGGGCAGAGAGAGAGGGACAAGCAGAATCTGTGCTGAGCACAGAGCCCAATGCAGGGCTCGATTCCAGGACCCTGAGATCATGACCTGAGTCAAAATCAAGAATTGGATGATTGACTGAGCCATCCAGACACCCTGAAGCATGGCTATTTCTTAACTAATCTCTGAAGTTTATTTTCTCTTTGAAACTCACACTTCTAAATGCTGTATATTTTCTAAGTAGTGACTATATATTTTCTAAGTAATACTTAGAATAAATGACATGCACGTGCAAATCCAGATGACCAACATCTGTTTTATTTGGTCACTCGTAACATTTGTAATAAGGATGTATACTGCTAATTGATTTAGGCTAATTTTAGTGCATTCCTATTAATCACTGTGGATTGTAGGACAATTTTCTAAAAATGGAGGTAAACTGATACATGTTAACAAAAATTATACTTGTTTCAGCATAAAAGAAATTATAGTCTAAAAGAAGACTACAGAATTGCCACATACAACTGTTATGTTGCAATGGTGAAAAGACTCATTTTCTTCCATCATACCATTCCTTAGGAAGGATAGAGATTAAACACTGCAATATCCATTGCCTAGCAACACCCACCTCTTAGTGATACAAATTTTCCACAGAAAAACACTTTTATTTGGGTCATTGTCTTTGAGATTGCATCATCAGAACTCTTGTCCCCACTGAAATGATCTTTAAAGGGCTTTCTAGTCTTGTCCGCACAGAAAGGTAGAGATCACTTAGTTTGGGTCACATACTGCTCTAAAACTAGCCTTTGGATGGTAATCTCTCATGCGACAGCCCACTTCTTTCCTGTTTCTGCTTTGCCCTGTCTTTCTCTCTCCACTGATTGATGATAAAGGGCTGGAGAGTGAGGTGTGGTTTCCATTCATCTTAGTACATATTAATCTAATTAACTAAATCTTGGTAGATTAACCAGGGTTAGAGATATATTTTTTGTAGACTGAGAGTTAAAACAATAAGAACAGGTGGCATTCAGAAAGTTTACCCAAGTTCCAGCTCAAGATACTGAGAACACGGTACTACTTTACATTTGGCAAGAATCCTTAATTAGCCCCCGTGGTGTTCAAGGGGGGAAAGCACAGGTCCAAGCAGAGGGGCACATGAATGTGCAGTCATATATTATGTGCCTTTGAGGAAAATTCAACTATATGTACTTGTGGTGATTTAAAAAAGAAAAAAAAAAAAAAAAACAATGCAAGGAGACAAACAATGTGGTTATTCTGCCTGATGTTTTTCCTGAACAGCATATGTCCTAATAAATGTGAGAGGAGCTCCTTCAGGGATGTTTCAGATCCCAGGTGTCTCCCATGATATGACATCTTGCCATGCTGAATGTGATTCCAGTTATTGAGGATTCTCGTTTTTTTGTACAACAATGCTTCTAAGTGCAGGCCATCCATCTGCCCCATCTGCTGCTCAAAAAACCCAAGTTTTTTTGCATCAGTATTAAGGGAAAAGCTTCCTGTTCTGAACTTTTGGAGAGATGACTATATGTAATGTGTTGCCTTCTGACGGCTTTTTTTGAGTAATTTTATGTTCCTGTTTTACCTTTATGTGCTGACCCTAACACCTCAACCCCGTGTAGGATGTTTGCACTGTAACTACTCTACTCTCTGATCTACTTTGAGAGCGCATAGATGCAAAAGATGCCGTAGGAGAAGAGAATAGAGTGTCATTTCTGAGTTTATGTTATATGGACCTTATTTTACCATTAGGAATAAAAAACAGCAATGTAAAATATTTAATTGAACAAAACAAAAAAGTATTGAATTCTTTTGCCCAAGAGAAATTTTTCTTAAAAACCAAGCTTTTTTTTTTTTTGGAAATAATTTTCTAAAGATGTAGATGATTCCCAGACCAGTGGCTTAAATAAATATTATAATACTAGTATATCATACAAGAGTATTTTGTATCATTTTGTGTCCCAGATCTATTCCTAATTTATCTGAATTATCCTGGGAGGAATCAAAATTAACAACAACAAAAAAACAATAATAATAGTAATAATTGCAGCCTATTGAACATTTAGATGTGCCAGAAATTACATAAAGAGCTTTCTCTGCATCACCTTGTTTAATCCTCACTCCTTTGAAGTAGGTGTATCACCAGGCCTGTTTTACAGAAGAGAAAACGAAGGCTGAGATTAAATAACTCATGGTCTCAGAGCTAATAGAGGACAAAAGTCCAGATTCAGACCCAGACCCTAGGTTGTAGAAATAGACAGTAGTTTCTAAATCATGTTTTTCTTGATACATATATTTAAGCTTTAATTTATTAGAGATGAGTGGATTTTGGTGTGAGTAGCAAGTTTTAAAAAGTATACTTGTAAATTGAAAAAAATGATCTTTTAACTTTTCTCTCCTTAATGTTTCATCCGCCCCTCAAAAGAAAAAAAAAATCAGTTGTGCAAACAACCAAGAGAGTGTGATATAAAAAGGAGCCATTGGGAACAGTTAATCCCAGATAAATATGATAAATGTGGGATAACATTTATTTTGCACGTTGGCCACAAGCCAGTCTTGAATTTTATTGACGGCCACGTGCTCTCAGGTCACTCTGCAGTCCGCCAACGCTGCCGTGCGAGTAGCCGATAGAACCAGCCATGTTTAAAAACATCATACCGGCACTTGGGACATTACAAATGTTTTAAAGTCTACAGAGTAATTACTGTAATAGCAGCAGTCAGCAGAATGCCCCATAATTTTCAGCTAAAATGTCCTGCAGTTTATTTTTTATCTGTAGAAATTTAATTTCCTTGTCTTCTGTGGGGCAAGTTTTCAATCACAAGTGTAATCCACCATAAGATTTGTCTGTTTGCTTCATTAACTGCTTTTAGGAAGGTTAGTTGTCATACTGTTGTTTTCCTGCCCCTCTGTTGTATCAGACTCTTATATAAATTCATCTGATGTACAGGGAGATGAACATTTTGGGACCGACTGCTACATAGTATTACTGATTTTTTTTTTCCCCGTGGACAGATGCTCAGAAGTATTCAGGCAATCTATTAGAGACCGTCTGTTCCATAGCAGTGTTTCTCCCACACATACAAACACGTATCCGCATGTGTGGTTTTCCTCGTTTCCAGGATATTTAGACTTCCTAGCATGTCTGTGAGGACCCTCCACAGTTTGGCACTAACCCGCATTTTCATCTTTCATCATCTTCCACCAGCCTACCAAAAGAGCCTTCTTTGTAGCTCTGCTGGTTTACCCCCATGGCAATTTCTGATACCCAATATTTTCCCTCAGGCCCCCACAAACAGTCCACCTTCCCTCGTTGTCTGGAATGAGTTCCCTACGGAATGAGTTCCCTACCCATTGCCCAACTTTTGAATGTGCTTGTGTGTATATGAGTGGTGACCTTGTTTTTGTCTTCAGGCTTTTTTTGTCTCGAGTATCATGGGGACTCTCACAGAACCTGAGCCGTTCTGGCACATAGTAGGCACCAAATAAACGTATGTGATTTTATATAAGTGCCGGGGACCATTTGAGAAGTTTATTTTTATTTTCTCTGATGTTGTCACCGAGAAGATATTTAAACAGCTTCTTAAATCAGAAATTACATTCCTCTTAAAAGCATTAAAGCTGAATCTTACCATATTCTTGCTAGAAACACCACTTTAAATTGTATCAGATTAAAATCAGTCAACACCTTTCACATTTTTATACATATACGTGAATGTACACACACCCACAAATATTTGTCAGTGAGGGTTTTTTTTTTCCTTCATGTTTTTTTCTTAGAGTAATAATCACGGAAACAAAATTATGTTGCCCATGTCCAGCATTCTTATTTCCTCCAAGATACTGCCTATATATATATATATATATATATATATATATATATTTTATATACATATATATACATACATATATATAATACATATATATATGGCACATGAGTTATGGATGACTGAGTTATGTTCACCGAAACAATCAAGAGTTGTCCATCCTGGGCACCTGGGTGGCTCAGTTGGTTAAACGACTGCCTTTGGCTCAGGTCATGATCTCGGGGTCCTGGGATCAAGCCCTACTTCGGGCTCCCCCTGCTCTGTGGGGCACCTGCTTCTCCCTCTCCCTCTGCCTGCCACTCCCCCTGCTTGTGTGCACTCTCTCTTCCTCTCTCTGTCAAATAAATAAAATCTTAAAAAAAAAAAAAAAAGAGTTGTCTGTACTGATAAAGTGGTGACTGGCAGCATCTGTACATGTTAAAGACAACCATTAACTGTTGCAGATTATTTTTGTATTATCTAGCTCTCAGAAGTAATGGGTAGCATTCTCTGAATTTCACTGAATGCTAATTTTGAGAGATAATGAAGAGAGGTGCAGTGTCACATATCTCTTTATAAGCAATATCTGAGGTAACTGTGAGGGTGCCTAACACAAAATAGGTACTAAAAACATTGGTTTCTTTCATTTCCCCTTGATATTTTAATATCAAACACTGTTAATGTGTTGGCCCCCACACAACTCTGGACTGGGCTTCCTTGTTCTTTCAAGAGTACTGTCTTTGATTTGATTCCAGATCAGTTCTGGAATGAAGTGGGTGCACTCTGTGGAATAAGCTATAGCTTTTTAGTCACTAAAAATGTCATGCCAAGAACTAAGCATTTCTTAAAACTGTAAACTCTGTTGTTTGTTTTTCTTTGTGAAGTTGAAGTTAATTACTTTCTACTTGTTTATCTGTTTTTGATTTTTGTAGTACTGGAGAAAATGAAACTGGACTCGGCATCAGGATGTTTGGCTCTGTAAGAAAACTACTTTAGAAGTAACCTCTGTATAAGGAAGACTTCAGAGTAACAAGGAAGAGAACATTTGATCTTCAGGATACCATATATCCTAAATGTTACATGGTGCCTGAATTCAGTTTCTTTGGATGTCATTGCTTAAATATAGTCTTGAAGGGTTTGTTTTGAAATACTATACACATATATTTTCAAATGTACACATTGTTAATAAACTAAGAAGTGAGAGATTTATTCCAGGATCATGTACATATTATGAGAGTTCTGGAAGAATTTTATGTTGAAATAGTAAAACATTTTAGTCTTTGAGTTTGAAATGTCCTTTTTTTTTTTTTTTAAGTCATCTCCTCACATCAGGACAGTAGTTATGAATTTGGATTGTCTCAGTCAAGAAGGCTTTTTTGGTTTGTCTCTCCCTCCCCCCTTTCCCTCTCTTTTTTCTCCCACTCATGTTTGTTTTTGCCTAAGCTGTAATACTTAAAGTTTTACCTATTGTGGCTCCTTCTTTTACAGTTCAGTAATTACTACATATTCTTCAAATAAGACAGTCATTTTCTCTCACTTTTAAATATATATCTTACTTGAAAACTATGCTTAGTTGACAATTCTCCTACCTTATAAGTACATAAAGCAGGATATGCACATGTAACCATCTGAATTACTGGCCAAAAGGTCATAATGACAGCAGCTTTCAGTGTTGAGCCCACGATATTTTTACATATACATGTAAGCATAAATTGTCTTTCTGCAATAAATACATTTTTGATGCAAACTTACTTTTCAAAAGGCTTTTGAAATACCTTTACTAGACCTGCTAATGTAATACATCCTTTCTGATTTAAGCAAAATGATTTCTTGTCTTTTAAGACTTTTAGTCCTGCTAATCTATCTAGCCTTTTTGCCTCATGGAACTTTGGGGAAAGGGCACATACGAAAACAGAAGAGCAACATAATAATAATCTTTACAAATTAATGTGTGGCATAGTCATGTGACTTTGTTTTGGAAGAAAAACAGTATCTCATTCTTTCAGTGCTGAATAAATGTTAAATATACAATGACAGAGAAGATTAGAAAGTTAAATTGAGGCACAGTTTCAGAGACTGCCATTAATTACAGTGTTTGTCACCACATTCTTGTCTTTGGGAGTTTGCCCCTTTAGAGTGGGCTTACCAGCTGGATAGCAAGCACATAATGAGGAGACGACCTAGAGGCACATGGAGTGTGGTTTGTGTAAAACATACATGCTGATTTGAGAACCAGAAAAGATGACAAGATCTCTTCAAATCATTGTAAGAGAGTTGGTGTCCAGATGAGCTGGAAGCTCCATCCTCTATCTTGCTTTTCCTGTGCTTGATGTGTTTATATCACTTCCTGCTGCCAGGAAGTTTTGAACCTGTCTGTATTCTCATTCTTGGAGTCCTATTTCTGCTGGCTCCAAAAAAATTTTCTCGAAATGGCCCTGTTGAAAGTGGCCAAACTCCTGAACTCTGACAATCCTTTTTAAGATTTATTAATTCTTATTTGAGAGAGAGAAACAGCACATGCATGCGCGTGAGGAGGGAGGTGCAGAGGGAGAGAGAGTTCCAAGCGGACTTCATGCTGAGCGTGGAGCCCGACTCGGGGCTCGATTTCAGTACCCTGAGATCACGACCTGAGCTGAAATCAAGACTCCAGTGCCCAACCAACTGTGCTATCCAGGTGCCCCTCTTATAATTCTTTATAATTTTTTTTAATTGGCACTTAATAAAGGTGGGTATTTTGTTATACTTGCAACTCCCATTTCAGAGGTTTGGCAAACTTTTTCTGTAAAGGGACAAGATAGTAAATATGTTAACCTTTGGAAAGCATATAATCTTCATTACAGCAACGATTCAACTCTGCTTTTAGAGGATAAAAGGCAGCCAGAGACAACATGTAAGCAAATGGGCTTGGCCAAATTTGACCTTCGGGCCCTAATCTGTTGACCCATTTGAACTAAGTGTAAGACAAAAACTATCACCTTACTCATCTTTATAAACTCCACTGCACTTTGCATAGATAGTAGTATGTTTATAGTAGGTCTCTATGAATTATTTTGGACTAACATGAAATTCTATAAGGGCCAACACTGACAACTGTTAAGGAGAGTTGATCATGAATAACCTTGTATTTAGTGCAAACTTGGTAAGAATTATAAGGGAAACAAAGCTAAGAAGGAAGACAGGTATTGGGTGAGGAAAGAGCATCTTTGAAGACGCCATGGTTTTGCTGAGAGCATTTTGGCTATGGGTGGTGAGCCTACATCAGAAAGAAAAGTGATTTATCGGTCTCAATTTCTATTGCTCAAAGCAACCTCTTTGCTTCTACTGTTTTCCCCAAACTGTTCAGAGATCTTTCTTTACAGTGTAGTCTGTATGTCTCTTTATTGTCATTGTCTTTCACATTCTGTCAGTGTTTGTTTTGACTTTGAGAAATGTGTTTGTGAGGACACGGTGCTTTAATTCAAAAGTGCAGGTACCATGGTCATGTACTATAAGTATTCAGAGTGAGATTTCTGAGAATAGGGGGGAGAAGATGTTGATCGCAGCCTCTGGGAGTAGGGCTGCAAAAGTGAGGAAAGAAGTAAAGTGTGATTCACATTCCTAAATAAAGCGTTGATAGCAACCCGATTTCTGCTATTCTCTATACACTAGGGTTAAATGTTCCCAGCTCATTTGTATTACAGAGTTTTCAGTTGAGTATGTATTGTACTAACAGCAGTCAATATTATTTATAAGGCCTTACTGTTACATATTAGGACTCTGCTAATTGCTTCATATGCTTTATCTCATTATTCTGTATAACGGTCCTATGAGATAGAATTGTGTCCCCGTTTTCCAGAATTTTAAGACAATTGAACCATCTGCCCAGAGCAGAGTTGGGATCCGAAGTTGAGTTACTCAGATTCCAGTGACCACAGTTTTGACCATCAAATTCTCCTGGCCTTCATTTCTCACTGAGTCAGTGGTGACAGCCCTGTCTTCTAGTATGTGCACGTGTGTGTATGTGGTCCATTAGACTTGAATACCCCCAAAACAGAATTCCATTTATTTGTTTGTTCATTCATTTATTGATTTATTGACTGTCATGAACAGGATTACCAAAGATAGAGGCAGTAATCAATAAAAGAAATTAAAAATTCCTGAGAAAGTAAATTGAAGTGAATTTCAAATTTATAAGAAATGGAGTTGTATCATCGTACCACATATTCATACTTGCCTTGGCATTTGTCATTCAGGAAAAACATATAGGTTATTTAAATCTTAACCATGCAGCTGTTAACCTACAATCATGATGTACTCTATATCTTTGCACAAAGACCTAATATGGCAATTAAAAAAAAAAAAAAGCCAGACTGAGACTTAGAAAGATTTAAAAAAAAATAAATTGCAGAAACAGAATGGACTATCTATAATTAAGTACAGAAAATATATTGGTTTGCCAAAATAAATAATTTGATATATTAACATTTCACCATAAAGAAAACATACTACCTGGATGGGATCCTGGAAAAGAGAAAGGACATTAGCTAAAAACTAAAGGAATCTAAATAAAGTAGTAGTTAAAAAAAAGAAAAAAAAAAAGGAATGAGTAGCCTCAGAGGGTCATGAATGTCCCACCTAGGTGACCACTTAAAGAAACTGAACTGCATCAGAAGGCGATCCTTCCAGCTGAAATTATTCCTTAACCCTCTCATCTTTTCTGACCTTGGCATTTTTAAAGGTACAAAGCAGATACTTTGGATGTGTATTAATTTTCCTCAAGGTTGATTCATTTTTGGTAAGGATTCTTAAATAATGCCGTGTTCTCCAGGCATCTTACCAGCAGGCCCAAGATGTCAGTCTGTCCCTATTCCTTTTCTTTCTCGGTTAAAATGGTTTCCAGCTTTCTCCATTCTGAAGTTAATTTGTATTTGACACATAAAATAATAAGCAATTGATAAGTTTTATGAGGAGACATTTTGAAACTATGTAAATATTCTGTTCTTTACCACACTTTTACCCACCAAGTTCAGCATGGATTGATGATCCTTGCCTGAATTTATTATGGTGAAAGCCAAATAGTTTTTGTTTTTTTTAGACTCCCTTATCCTTCTACACTTACTAGTGTTCTACTGTAAGATAGAGCTCTCCTTTCTCCTTTATGCATTCATTTGCTTATATTAATATGGATTTTTATTCTGTTAAACAGAGCATTCCTGTATCATTTATTTTGATGGTAAAGTTCCCCCAGAACTGACTTGTCTTCAAGTTGGTGCCTGTGTCTTCTGACATAGTCCCAATATTCCTTGAGCCCCTTTTTACTTTTTGCACAAGATGTTCCAGGCTCATCATCTAGTTGCTCTGCCTCAGCCCTGAAGTCAGCCACTTCTTCAAGGAGCCCTGGTTCTTTCCTGGTCTGATTTTAGCAGATAACTCCCCAAAGTATCTGATTTTTCTAAAATAGAAGTTAATTTAGCAGCCCAGTATTGCCATTCTAAAACTCCAGAGTCTGAATAGGGCGATATGGATATAAATAAGATATAAATAAGTTGGGCGCCTGGGTGGCTTAGTTGGTTAAGCGACTGCCTTCGGCTCAGGTCATGATCCTGGAGTCTCGGGATCGAGTCCCGCATCGGGCTCCCTGCTCAGCGGGGAGTCTGCTTCTCCCTCTGACCCTCCCCCCCTCATGTGCTCTCTCTCTCTCTCTCATTCTCGCTCTCTCAAATAAATAAAATCTTTAAAAATCTATAAAAAAATAAATAAGTTCAAAATAGAGTAATCCATATCTGAATGAACCATAGAATTTAACTTGAATTTAGCTGTGTCTTCATTTCTCAGCTTTAGATCATCACCACCACCATCTGCCTTGAGACCATGAGGACTAGTTTTATGATTATGCTCTTTATCTGTGTTGATGTTAGTCACCACAAGAGACTCAGACCTCCCTAAAGTCATTCCTTATACCCGAGTCTATACAGCTTTATACAACCAACCCCCATCTCCCAAACCTCTGGACTTCCATGGGCCCTCATCAACAGAATGACTCGAGCATCAAAGTTTACCTCCTGTGCTGTATAATAGATACTGCTGTATATATTTTTTATTTTTTTAGAAGAAAAAATTGTAAACCGAAGTTTCAGGAATTCAGTAAAAAGTAAAAAAAAAAAAATCTAAGAGCATATCCTAATGTCTGTATACCTTCAGTGACGTCACATTCTCTTTACACAGCACTGAACAATGTTCATAATCATGATCTTTTATAAGATTATAAGTCATCAAAAGAATCATGTTTAGTTTACTGAATACTGGATGGTTAGCACAGTGTCTAGCTCAGTGTTTCAAAGGTGAGCAAAATAAAGTTAACAAGATAATAGAACTTCCATCACCAATTTTAATTTCATTAAGTTGGATTCTTGATCTAACATTCTCATTTAAACCTAATACAAAGAGACCTGACTTTGGCATTTAAAAAAAAAAAACGGACATAAACTTAGCTTACAAAACTGCAATCCCACTCTTAGACATCTACAAGAGAATTGAAAACGTTAAACGTCCACCCAAAGACTTGTACATAAATATTTGTTCCTATTATGATTCATAACAATTCCCAAAGTGCTCAAAGGTCCATCAACTGGTGAATGTCTAAACAGAACATGATATGTTCATACAAGGAAGGGGATACCATTAAGCAACAAACAAAACCCCTACTTACACGGCAACAATGGAGGAACCTCAGAAGTGTTACATTGAGTGAAAGAAGCCAGACACTAAATAC